ACACCGAGGGCTAGTAGTTCTGGGAGTATTAGCTCAAAATGCAATTCAAGTAGCTGGGGGAAAAAAAAAAAACAAAAATTGTATCTTGGTGACAGGGAACTTCTGACAAAAGTGTGTGTATATGAAGCCTGACAAGTACCTGGTGGTGTTTTCCTCAGGAAAGCAGTAAACAAAATAGTCGACTGGTAACGTCGAAAGATCGTGGTGGCATTCGGGTTCTGAGCGTATCACCGATTTATGTTTTCACAATTTTGAGTCCCTGCTCTTCCGTTTAACTGGGAACAGCAGAATGTGTACGGTTATTGGCAGTCTCATTCTGGATAAAAATGAGAGAGGCTGGAACATGTCATCTTTCGGGGCAACTTTACAGGCTGGAATTTGGGTTTTACTTTGGGAAAGCTGACAGTCATCCTTTATAAGGGCAGTCTCCAGGTACTGAAGTTGGGGGATTTAGCAGCAATTGCCATAAATAGCTTTTTCTATTCCTGTGAAGTGATTATAGAGTTCAGGTCAAATGTAGCTTTCCCTTTGTTTTCTTCAGTGTAATTTTAAGATTTTTCTCCTCGGGTCTTCCTCAGTGTTGCCAAGGGTAATGCACCCAGGTGGCACTGCAGATCGCCTCCAGTTTAACTCGCGTTTCCTTCACAGACTAGCAGTTCGTGTGCGGGTTTCGGTGCTGAGCAGTGAGAATTGGTATGAAAATGTGCAGATTATGAGATGAAAAGTAATTGAAAATCCCAGGCAGAAATTTTCAGTGCTGGGAGGAGCACTATAGATGATGCCATTTCCCCATTTTCTAGCAGCTTTAAAAGACAGCAAGTTTTATGCCGATCAGTGACCATCAAAAGCCGTGGAAAGGGTCCTTTATGCGCAGAACATCTGGTGTCTGTGATCAGTATCTTTGACAGAGGTTTTGGGATAAAGGATCATCTTTGAGAAATTTGAAGTATTATTTTGTTCTTCCTGTTTTTCATTTGTACCGTGGGATAAAATGTGTATCACCAGTATCCTGGTTCAAAGTTTTCTTCACAATTCAGGTTAAATTCAGCCCTTTTTGCACTTACACAGTGTGTTTGTGAACCTGCTTCGACTACAGTGTATTTTTATGTGCAGAAATGGGCAGGGGTAAGAGCAAACAAGAACGGTGATGCATTCTATGGGAAGACTGTTTTGATCCGGACTCAGTGTCTAAAATGGGCACATTCCAAATCAAACTGGCACACTGGGGGTAGCTTTGAACGAGCCTTCTCCAGAGGAATTACTCAGCAGGCAGTGAGAATCCTGCAACAATGCAACAACTGCAGACAGTGGGATGCTGAGCTGTGTGCAGAAATCCGCAAGTGACTGTCTTGACAATTAAAAAAAGGGAGGAGGGTTAGAAAGCTATTAAGTTTTACACCTGCTCTAAAGCTTTATTTTGAAGTGTTTCACCAGCTGATTTGCTTGCAAAATAAAATACAGCGTCCCTGTTTTGCTGACTCATTGGGGAATTAAATAAAAAAAAGAGAGAATTTAAAATGTGATAGGCAAAACGTTGCCGAAAGCACAAACTTTGAAATTAGAAATAAGCATTTATCGTAGAGAGGAAATGAAATTTGATCTTAACCAACAGTTTTTGAATGGTTAGCATGTCATGAAAACAGGCACGTATATCCCATATTTCACAAGTAGCACCTGAAGGAGAAAAAATAGGGTGTGAGTCTGAAATGAATGACTTCAGTCTTGACAAAAGGCTAACTATGCAAAGTTACGTAGTTGTGTAGAATGTTAGATAGCACAGATTTCAGCTTGACTTTCCTTGGTTGCTTATCCCCGAGGAGAGAAAGCAGTGGTTTTGTGTCCCCGGGAGATGGCCAAGGTGCCTTCTGAAGCTGTAACCATAGGTGTTCAACGGTCTGAACGCATCATCCCTCAGCGAGCGGTTCCATTTCCACACCGCACACGTGATGGCAGGCTGAACTGACGTGTTGCCTGAGGCTTCCTTCAGAAACCTCATGGCACACAGAAAAACTGTGGCTTTTTACGGAGGAGGCTCTTTCACCTCCCCAGCGTGGTCACAGGTGACCACGGCAGAAAATGAAACTGGCTGGAAAGAGACTAACTGCTGGGGTGGCCTGCTGGAAGCAAGTGCCCTATGGAAATAAACATCAACAGTTGGCAAAGATGATGCTAAAAAGCAAAATGCATCTGCTGCCCTCCCAGTACATTGTTGTTAGTATTAACTCAAGGAACTGGGCTGGATCTCTTCAGACTTTTTCTCAGGTTTTCAGTATCTAGAGGGGGTTTTAAGGAGGGGGTGGAGGAGGGCGAATAATTCAGTTCTCAAGAAAAAACCCAAAAAACCAACAAAAAGCAAACAGGAAGACCTTAAAGGTTTGTAAGAGCAGAAGTAGGGGGGAGGGGAATTATCTGTTAAGAGTATTAGTTGTTTAATAAAGCGCAGTTGTCCTCCAGATGAACCCGCCAGTGACTCTGCAATTGGGGTCATTCCAAGTTCATGCTGTGGACTTTTGACTGCCTTGTGTGTCTGTGCAAACAGCCGGCGGTTCCTGCGGGGATCACTCACTCGGCCCGTAACACTAAACTGCTGCCAGCGGGCACCTGCTGCTGCCGCGTCCCAGGAGGTCCTGGGGGAACCCACCCCGCTCCGGGCATCTGCGGAGATGGAGATCGCGCCAGCGGGGGCTCCCCGGGACACCCGGCTCATCCGCATCCGTGCCGGCGGCGCCCCGGGGGGCTTCACACATCACCCGGCCAGCATGCCGTTGTCAGGATGCATTAGGAAGCTCAGTTAACGATGGGATGTGAGCTAATTAAAGATCCTTTACTGTGGTTATACGACAGAAACAGGGGTGGAGAGCGCTGCACGGAATCTTAAGAAATGTGTGTTTGTTCAGCGGGAAAAGCTCGTGGTTGTCAGTAATTTAGAGAGGGTCAGAGTTGATGTATCTCCTAAAACGAGCAGCTGATTACAGCATCTTGCTGATTTGGTATTTTCTAAATTAAGACCATGTCAGTTCTGCTCATAGCTGCGTTACACGTCTCTCTCTGCACAGTTTGACTTGGTTATTAATGTGCGTTGGGCTTGGCCTGAACCCTCCTTTCCGTTCAGGATTTAACGATGCTCATTAATGTGTGAAGGAAAGTGTGAAAGCAGAGAGCATGTACATCTGACTGGATCCACACTTTCCTGCTTCAGTCTCTGAGTGATTCCGAGACTGACGGAAGCCAGGGTGACGCTGGTGTGTAGAACTCCTTCAGGTGGCTGGGCCTTTTACACGGGGCAGATAAGCACCTGTCATTGTTCACATACTGCAGTGCTCTCCCTTCACCTACACAGCCGTTGTTTCCCACCATGAGCAGCTCTTCTCTTTCACGTAGACAGATAATTGTGTTTAGGGGAGTTACTGTTGAAACTGTGGAGTGAATTTCAGTCATCATGGCTAGGGATTTTCGGTTAAGAGTGTGTGTGAGAACTGAAGATGACATAGTTCACAGTTTACATTAGACTTTTTAACTTAAATAAATTTTAAATACTCTTTTCTACCTTGCTGAAAGAACATATTTAAATTTTTGCTTTGGTCCCTGAGAACCAGCTTTTATTGTTGGAGATAAAGCATGAACATCATCAGTGTGTGGTGATGAAGATTTTTTTGGAAGGTGGTGGTCTGGAGTGAGAGTTGAATGAAGTTCAGCAAAGAACTCCTTTAAAAAGGAGTTCTGCAAAGCAAAGATGAGAACCGAGTAAACTCTGTGATTTCTAATTTAAATGCAGTTCATTGTGAGGTTTGCACAGAAGTTATAACTGACCTGTATTTAATTTCATCACTTTCTCCCTTAAAATTCCATCTTGGAATGTTCTACTTTGCTCAGTCAATAATATTTTTAAACGTACCATTCTCTGATGCTAGAATTACAATGGAATGTTTGGACTAAAGTCATAATTGTGTATTTATCCTTTTGAGATGTCCTTAGAGAACCAGGCAGTGCCAAGAGCTTAAAAAGACTTTAAAAGATTACTTAAAACTTATTTCCATGCTGTGTGCCTCATGCATCTGGCTTAGAGGGAACATGCAGTACAAAGTCCAGAATTAGTTTTCATTTGCTTTGAATTCTTCTTGTTCCCCATAAGCCTTATTGTTTGGCACCAGCTTTGTTTCACAGACAGGGTATATGCCTGTTTTTTTCTTCTATTGCTTGAAACAGCAAAGGGTACATAGTAGTAAAAGTTTTTGTGACAAAACTTCCTGAATTATTGGGCCTTTAAAAAGAGAAAAAAACCACACACACACAGCCCCCACAAAAAAAGCCTAAAACATGAGTAAGTTTCTTGTACAGATACTATTTCAGCTGCTTTTGCCGGTCATGGTAAGAGAGTTAATATCGATGGGTGACACTACGTAAATGTAAAACGAGAAATGATGAATCGGCTGTTTACTCGAGCCTACGGAGGAGGCAGCTAAGGCCAGTGTGCCCCAGGCTTATGGAAGTGTAATAACGTTTTCAAAAATGGTGAAGTGCTGAGAGTGGCTTACGTCTTGTTCCAAAGGCAGGGTTCACAGTAGCATAATGTCCTGGGCTTCGGAGGGAAACGTGCAAGTCGTGTTTCACCTTCCTGGCAAAGATCAGCTTCTGTCAGAGCTCGTAGGCTGAGGTTAATGAAGGGTAGTGGGTCACATTTGCTGCTTGCAGTATGTTACCAGTTGGCAGCATCATATATGAACCAGTGTGGGATGAAAACCAGTGATCAAGTGTCTTTAGATTGCAGAGCTGGAGGAAAAGGGCAGCGTCCCTCCAAAGAGGGGAAATGCAGGCAGTACCATCTGCTTTGGGGACAGGAAGAGGCAGAGCAGAAAGAGGGTAGCTGTGAATGAAGGTGGACGAATGTTCAGATGACTTGAGCTTTTTGGAGAGATTCTCCTTTTTCTGTCCAGGCAGAATGGATAAGGCAAAGCACTGAACAATGATAATGATAAGCTGAAATATTTTTAATACCTGAGATGACAGAACTTTTCATTAGTGGTCTGGAAGACCCATACCCTGCTTTGTTTGGAGATGCCAGGTGGACAAGTGACATACCCACCGCCTTACGAGTACCTGATGTGGAGTCACACTTTGCGTGTGCTCGGGTTAGGAAGCAGGTAACGTATTTTAGCTGATACTGATGTATCATGTTGTAATTCTGTTTCAAGGAAAAGGATGTCTGAAACAGGGAAAAATGCAGAGATAAAAGACCAAGTTACTGATTTCTTTTCTTCATCCGCAAGTAGATGAAGAGCTCGCTGTGAAAATTAGGATAGAGAAAGAGGGAGACTGGTTTTTGGAAGTCCCACAGACTGTGTAGTTATGTCGCATTTACATGGGCTTAAGTAGGCTTTGAAGTTATCAGGTCACACCTCAGGTCACAAAAGCTAAGGAAGACAAGGGCAGATAGCACTTTTGTTGTCACCTTTGTTTATCTGGAGACTGTTTTCTGCATGACCAGGTTAACAGCTCAACAACCCACCACTGCTGCTCTTCCACGAGTCTTAGTGTCTTAATTCCAGTATCTAATACTGCACTTCTCAAAGGAGGCATCTAAAAGCAAGACATCTGGGGGGAAAAAGGCAAGTCTGCTTTTGTGCTTTAACTTGTTCAAGTCTCCCTTCACAGTTGGTGTTTAAGCTGGACTTAAACTGCTTAAATTTCTGATGCTCACTCAAGTTTCTGATCCTGAAATAACTTGCCACTGCTGAGTAACTTTTTCGTAATACACTGATTATAATCTACACAGACCGAACATAAGGTGTTGTGCAGGTGTGTGTGTGGGGGGGGTGTTTATGTTAGAAATCTTTTTTTTTTCTTTTTTATATCTGTAGGTACAATCCTGTTTGCTGAAACAGGCTTCAGAAACCATCCCAGGGACAGTATTTCTGAGGTGCTCAGAAAAGGATGGTTCAAAATTTCTGATACCCAGCAGTTACCTGACTGCCGTGGCATCACCCCTGTTGGGTGATACGAGAGATGATGTCGGTCTCGTTCAGATCACGAATCGGGCTGCTGCTGGCGCCTCAGTCTGAATCTTTATTGCAAAGAAGAGTCTAAATTTCACAGCAGAAGATGGTGAGCTGCTCGCTTGCCTGACAGACCTTGCTGATTCTTGCTAACGCCTGTGAAACGGCTTCAGTTGTTCTGTCTTCCCTGGTGTTTTACCTCTACTTGGCAAACCTGACCACGTTCCATCCTGCACCTCAGAGCAGGGGAAGTGCCGCAGTGGTCCCGGCTGGAAGGTGTTCAGAGGGATCCGTTCACTGTGTCCCCTGAGGTAACCAGCTGGTTTAGGTACAAATGGTGCAGATGGCTACAAAGGTTTGGCCTCAGTCTTTGTCAGATGAGGCCGGAAAACAAACAGTACCTGCGGTGTGAGGGGGGTCCAAAAGCAATTCCACGTGAAGTTCATGGCTTTTCATTAATGCGTGTTGAGTTTAGATTTTGTCACCTGAGTCAGCACAAAATGGAAATATTTCATCGTTCATTTGGTACATTAGAATCCTTAAATTGTTCCATTTACAGCTATAACTCAGTGTTATTTTCTAAATACCACCAACAAAAACGTCCCCATTTAACTTTGGTTTTACCGTTAATGGAGACTGACTTTTAAACCGTGTGCATGTGATTTTTTTTTTTCTTTTTTTCCTCCTTACTAAAAGAATAACCTACTATTACATTAAAATTCTTTCTATACACTAAAACAGATTTGTTATTGACTATTTGGTGTGAGATTCTGCTTCACAGAGGAAGGAAAATCTGAGGAAAGACTGGCTTGTATTTACCAGGAAAGCTGATGCGATGGAGCCTGGCCAGTTTAGACGGGGGGAGGAAACCAAAGCTGCAAGGAGAGCTTACCAATTT